AAGTGATGCATTCTTGTCCATGTTTGCAGCTGTTTAAGCATTCAAAGCAGCAGCCAAGCTTTATAAAGAAAAACACTACTTTCCCAGGAAATAACTCTGCAGTAAATCTGTGCTGATACAAGTTCCAGAGAATTTCAACATTCTATAGAAAACTCATCAGCAAGACCTAACTGCTGCAGAAAAACAAACTAAAAAGCCACATTGCCACTAATGCCCCCCTTCTAATTCACAAGTTCAAACTTCATTTATCCATTCACATGTAATGAGGCAGAAGAACTTCTTGAAGAAGTGTTTCCAAAGGCTGTTTGAAGTTTCAAAATAAAACAAGCTTTGCCGGCCTTGTCTTCTAGCACATTAGTCTCCACAGCTGCCTGTTGCTCTGTTACAACAACACCAAGTCCATAGTAAATGAATGGCTTTCCTCAGCATCACTCAATACCGACCTTTTCAACTATGGGATTTCAAAACCAACATCAAGAAATTAATTCCAACGTTCACTGGCTACTATTAGCATGTTTTGATGTATTACGCATCACTCATTACATACACAAGCTCTCCAACTATTACTTGTTACAAGCAAAGCAGCTTGCCACTGTGAATATGCCCAAGAAACCTGGGATCCATCAGCTGAAGTACTGAATAACACTCAATTTTTTCTGCTTCCAAAACATATACTTGAAAATGTAAATCAGTTCAAGGATGCAAGTGACATGAGTATAACGAATACTCAAAACCAATATATTTAATAAATGTGGCATGCTATGCTTTATACTCAGTAGAAACTCATGCTGTTCCCTATCACTGAATTTGGCTACCAAATCTCTGTTAGAATAAAGAGACGATATTTGTTAGATAGGAAGGGGCTCCATGAATCTTGAAGGAGTAACTAAAATTCTGCTGAACTGGGAGGTCCACAAAAAAAAAAAATCTTCATACATTCTGGGTCATTTCTTAATGCAGAAAACACCATCAGTTCAATAGCAGAATATTTCAGTATGTGAAAAGAAAAACTAATTCACAATATGTTGAAATTCCAGACACTTATAAATCCTTAACACAAATAAAAACCAGCAAATCCAACAAATATTTACCAGTGTACTTAGAAGTCTTCAAAATAATTCTCCAGCTACCTCACCTACCAGTAATGAAGAAATCAAAGATAAGCTCCAAGTTTGCAGCTTAAATCAGCACAAAAGCTGCCATTTTCATCTCCAGCTGTTTGTACAAATTTCTTAATTTCTTCCCAAGAAAGAAGAAATTGTGGCAGAAGAAATTACATCCATCAGTAGCTAAAAATATTTCAGTTATTTGAATTTTCAAAAGAGGGGTAAAAACCAACTGTGCTTTACAGTTAAGAAAAGAACCCAATGCAACATTTCAACAACTTTTATCAAAGGTTGGCTTAGATCTAAACAATACTTAAATGCGAAGGAAAACATTTGGTTAAAATATAACAAATAATTCTGGTGTAACTCGAGGTTACTGTCATTATTGCCTCTAAAGGCAGACTAAGCTCTCCGGAGAGAATGTAAGTGCTGTGGCAGCTCTGCTACAGAGCAAAGGCTTGAGATGCTTCAATTTAATTCTCAGTCGAGACACTAATTTTTCTTAGATTACAGGTATTCTGCATGTGAGCCTTCCATATGGAGAAGTTAATAGCCACCCTCCACCTCCACCTTTTCTTTTAAGAGAAGAAGCAGTGACAGCCTGCGACTCATCATGCTCCTTGTACAGGGAAGTGAAGTACAGTTACATCCTACACTGGAAGACATTCGTAATCTGATCTTATCAATGATCTCCACACACTGCATGCCATTAAGATTAGAGAACTAAGAAATTAGCCTGACAAAACCAATTGCTCCCCATCAGTACTGTATAATAATGTATTTCTGCTATTGAGATAATTAACAAAACTTAGTATCATAACCCACTGGGCACGCACAGCCTGGTCAGTATCTTACACCAGCAGTGCAATTCATGTGATACACTTCTTGTGGCTCAGGATCCTACGCAAGCAAAAATAAAACAAAAACAATTCAAAAGTAATGACCACAACTTGTCTAATAATTTTAACTGGAGCCACACATGAACCAGGAAGTAATAACACATTCCATTTGAATGGAAAAGTCCAAGCAGAGTTGTATTATACAAGATTGCAGTGCAGTTACAAGACAACATTAAGTACACATCAGCTAAAGACAGGCCTGCCTGCAAGAGCAGACTGAAATTACCTGCAGCAGTATTTTTTGCTTCTTCCTCACACAAAGCACTCAAGAGAACTCTGGAAGGCAGTGCTCTGAGACTGCTCAAAAGAACAAAGAGTACACTAATATGTGACTGCTCATGCAGGAAGTTTAATCAAAAAACAAAGACTTGCAAAGGCATGAAAGCTAATTCATGTCCAGGTCACAATGATACAGTGATGGAAACACTCAACTACCACCAGCTCTTCTGGAATTCTTCACCAAAGTATCTGCTCTGGTTTGGTTAGCTTTCCAGAAACCCTGTCCTTCTCATCACTTTATAAGACACTTCAAAACACTCTATCATCTGTCAAATGATGGCTTTTCTTTCTCCTTCCTCCATGCAGCAATATTGCCCACAGACAGTGTTATTCTTGTTTCAGAAAAATAAATGGCATGTACCTTCTCATTGAAGAATAAAGTAAATAAACCTGAGCTAAAGTAGGCACACTAAAGAGTAGCTGACATACTAGGAGTTTATATTGCTACTCCTAAAATCATGATCCCTTGAGGCATGTTTTACACATAAGGTATATACTGAAAGACAAAACAGGTTTATGCTGCTATTAACTACAAAATGTCACATGTTATACCATATAAATAAAACATGAAGCCACAGTAACTCATTCCTGTTATGAAAATACCTTTTTAAAGCACAAGCAATTCTATTTCTGGCATGTAAAGTAATTTTTAATACTTCCACGGACAAATAGGAAGATTAACAAAGACTATTCAATTTCTGTAACCATTGAGTATAATCAGGACTATTGTTTCAGTATCTGATAAAAAAAATGTTTTCTATTTTCTCTTTATTTGAGGAAAATAGCCATGGAAAACGAGAAGAGGACTGGCTCAATTATACATTATTTCATGTACAACAAAACCTCTGTGTTCACTGCCTAATAACTCCATTCATACTGCCGCTAGCTATATAAACACAAAACTAATCTTCCAGCAAGGGACAGAAAAAGTTTGCTTTGCACAACTCATCCCTAGAATTCAGCTGGAAACAAGTCAAGTTTCCACATCACTTAAGGGAAACATAGTATGGTCCTAGTCTCAAATGAATAGCTACAGATAAAACATCCTAATTCTTACTAAGAATGACTTGGGGCCCGTGGGCAGATAACTGTCTTTCCATCTTAGCATATTTTCTTCTGATGAGAACTTAAAAGGCAAAAAGCCGTAGCATAACAACTGACAAAGCTCAGTCCCACGGCTCAGACACAGAGTTTAATCTTCCATCACTGAAGTTTGCAAGCACTGTAACCAGTAACTTTCAAAGATTTCCAGCTTGAGCACTACTGCAGCGTAACTATTTTGTATCAAGTCAGCTTCCATGTATTAGAGGCCACATAACTTCGCATCTGAACTACAGAGCACTGTAGTGTGGGACAGCCTACTGGAGGATAAGAACTGCAGCCTTATTCCATTACTTCATTCCTCTCTTCAAGTACACTCGCTATTAGTTTATGGAAAATACTGTATCAGCCAAAGTCAAAACAACAGTCTGTCTCCTCTAAATGTAATATTTTTTGATTCCCTAAGTCAAGTTTTAAAAAGAAGGCCAGTCTTGCATGATAGGCAAGAAAAAAGAACCTCCTCATCCCCAGATTTAAAGTTTCATGAAGTTCCTGGCTGCTTTCATCATCTGCCCCATCTTTTTCTAATAGGAATACTGTCCCCTCATTCTCTGCAGTTTACAAAAGAGGCACAAAGAACTACAGCTTTTTCCTATTCCTGCACAAACAGCACACACACTACACCATTTGTGCTTTGAAGTGTTTTCTATCAAGGAATCTCACAACTGCATCCAATCACTCAAGCACTGGCCCCACTTCACAGATTGCTGCTCAGCCTAAAACTATGAGCCCTTCTCCTGTTATCTGCAGCGAATACTTAACTATATCAGAAAGAAAGAGAATAAACAAAGCATTTTTAACTGGTTTCAGGTCAGTGCTAGACATTGAGCAGTTGAGATAAATCCCTGTCTTCGCAAGCCTGCACTCACTCAGACTCCAGGCTTCTTCTCAGCGACACATTTACTTAAGAGCCAAGTAGAAAAAAAAAACAATTAAAAAAAAACCCCAAACGTGGTGGGGCGGGGAAGGGTTTAAAACTTCCCGAGCTGTCAAGGACTCCCAGCGCCCTTCAAAGCCAAAGACGATTATTTCTTAAACACTTGAGGAGCGCTGGACATCAGAAAGCGCCGGCGGTGCCGCGGGGCCGCTCTGGGGGCGAGCACGAGCGGGGAACGAGCCCCGCGGCGGGCGGCTGAGGCACAGGGCGCCGCGCTGCCGCTGCCCGAGCGGAGCGCTGCGGGGAACACGGGGAACACTTCGGGGGCCCGTCCCCGACCCCACGCACGGAGGGCTCCGCAGCCTCCCCCCGAGAGCGCGGGGGGAAGGGGAACGCGCCCGCGGCTCCGGGGACCGGCGAGGGGCCGAGGCCGGCGGAGGACTCGGAACAAAGCTGAGGCGAGAGGGCCCGAGGACGGGCAGCTCAGCCCTGGCCAGCGGAGCACAGCCAGCAGCTCCCGAGTGACCCACCGGCGCCCCCGCCGTGGCCGGGAGGAGAAAGGGGGCTTCCGCAGGGCAGCGCCGGGATTATCCCCGCGGGCTGGAGACCGCTAAAAAGCGGCTGCTCCCTCTCCGCGCTCCTCGCAGGCGGGGAAAGGACCCTGTGAGGGCCGCCGCCCGCCCTCCTGCCCTCCCTGCACAGTGGCTACGAGGGGCTGGAGCGGAGCCCCGCACCCACCTGGCGCCGCGTTCCGTCCCATCCCGCTCCAGCCGCCGCCGTTCCAGCGCTCCAGCCGCCGCTGCCTTCGCGGGCTAAGCCGCTGCCACCCCGCCCCTCAGCCGCGGGCCCCGCCCCCTCGCCGCCCTTATGACTCCTGCGCGGGGGGGGGCGGAGCCCGCCAATGGGAAGCAGGTCCCGGAGGCGCTGAGCGCTGATCGGCGTGGGGAGTGACCAATGAGAGTGCCGGGGGGGCGGTGTCAGCTGTCAATCAGCGACCCCACCTGGGTCTGGCGAGTGGCCGGGCGCGAGGGATGGTGATCCTGTCCCTCCTCCCTCCCTCATCCATCCCTCCTTCCCTGCATCCTTTCATCTCTCTCCCGGCCGGCGGGCCAATACCCGCCGCTTCGGCCCCTGCCCGGTCTGTGTCCCGCCTGGCCCCGTGAGGCCGCCCAAGCGCCCAGGGTGTGGCGGCTGCCCTGGGGCTCCCTGACAGCCCCCGAGACCCACGTGCCCCTCGGGAGCAGCCGCCTTTCCCCTCAGTGCTCGAGCCGCCCCTTCCCCGCCCGGCCCCGGCTGCGGGACAGCGGTACCCAGTCCCCCGCAGTCCCCGAGGCCATCTGGCGCCTCCCCCACGTCTCCCGCGGGGTCGGTGCTGTCATCCACGCACCGCCCCGGCCCATTTTCTGCCCGCAAGAGGCCTCTGCGGCGCTTCTGCCCTCGTTCCCGACTGCCACAAGCACGCCCACCCCCGCTGCCCTTTTCTTGCCCTTGCGACCCAATTCCGCTGAATCCAGCTCCTGGGCATCCGGGCCCCCACGGGATCCATGTTTACCCAGACGGGCTCTCGCCTCGCTGGGCAGGTGCACTGCGGCCGCTGCAGCTGCCGACCGGGCCCCAGCGATGTGCCCCTTCCAGCCGGGCCTGAGTTGCCGGCCTTTGTGGTTATCCCTGTCGCGAGGGCTTTTGTTAGGCGCCGCAAAGCCTTTATGAAAAAAGTAGTATCACGTGAATCAGATTTTGGAGGGGCAGGGTGGGTAGAACAACTGCTAAATGGTTTCTAATGGCCCGGGCGGCTTCAATAACTAATGAGAGCAAGCACAGGACACCCAAGACCGGCGAGCTCATGAAGGTAACGACCAGCTGCTCTGCCCCTTTCAGCAGGCTATCCAGATCGACAGAGTCTCTGCTTGGCCTTTATATGGAACGAAAAGGTCAGCAAGACCCCCGTGGTCATGGAATAATGCCCTGCAGAGGAGGAGCAGGCGATGATGGGTAGCAGTCGATGTAAGCAGCTCAGCAGCCTGCCCTCATCCATGGGGGCTCGGGCTGCAGGCACTTGGACCCCGAGGAGCGGCAAGGCAGTGGTGTCTCAGGCTGTGGAAAGCTGAAGGGGCAGCCACTCTCTCTGGAGTCATATTAAATAAATCCTTTTTAGTCAATAAAAATAATCACAGCTGAAAGTAGAATTTTTAAACACCATCTCCAGTCAATTAGCAACCAAAAGTTTACTGAACTCAACTCAGTTGAACCACTTCAGTTACCCACATCTTGCCTTACAGCAAAGTTGCACGTTCAGAAACACCTCCTTTTCAAAAAAAATAAAAAAATAAAAATCAACCAACCAAACAAACAAACACACAAAAAGAAAAAAAACCCACACACAAAACCTCAATATGTGGGATTCCTATAATTCTCAGAAAAAAATATTTGTATTTGAGGTATTTGTGTCGGTCGTGGTAAGAAGCAACAGCTGTGAACCACTGCTGTGCTGTAATCACTCCAGGTTGCACAGCAAAAAGCAGCAAGCCAGCTTTGAACTGCTGATGGTGACAGTTTTATGATCACTAGCAAAGTAAACAGAAAAGAAATCTTTAAGTAACATTACCCTAAAAGAAGGAAGCAGCAGGCTTTTTACTCATCATAATGGTTTTGTGGCACAAAAATCCTAAAAGCAAAATATTATCAAGGTTTTCAGAAAAATTCGTTCTCTATCCAAAAAAGAGTATTTTTCCTGAAACACATATGCAGCAAGTGGAAACTCTTCAAAGACTGTAAAACAAAACAGAAGGAAAATTACTTGCTATTGTTAAAATACAGCTGCACTCATGCTCATTCAGTGGTTCTTTTTTCATGCTGAAAATGGAATCTTGAGGTTTTAAAAATATTAATTTCAAACAGACCTATCTCTACCAGTACTTTTTTTCTGCTCCATCAATACAAGTAAGTAGCCTCTGAGATGCAAGGTATTAATTAACATTTATTTCTTTCTGGCTGCTTCCCAGTCTCCTGGATTACTTCTTAGCTTTCATTTTTCTCCTCTGTATTCATGACATTTTTAATGCCCTTTCTAATAACATCTAGATCTTGTAAGAAAGGAACTCAGGCACAGCTTTATTACTGCTGCTTTGACCTTGCTTTTGAATTTGCAAATAAGGCAAATCTGCCAAACAATTTGTGTTGAATTGGTATTGAGTTTTCATTAAGAGAAAAAGAAAGGTGGTTAAATTAAATGCAAGGAATAATTGAATCAGCATTTGTATGAACCAATATTATTTTTAAGTTAAATCATTCTTCAGAAAAGCCCTCTGAATGCAGTAAATAGAGGCTTGGGCTGGCACGCCAAGAGATATCCAGGATTGATCTTCTATTAATTTCACTTGAAGGAAGAACCAGACTTCAGAGGGTAATGAAAAGGGAGGGTTATTGGGCACTGAAACCAAGATGAGTTAGTGGAAGTGAGCATGACATTTTCTTAATGTCTGCATATAATATCACTGGTTTAGATCAAATTTATAAGGACCTCTTCTTCTTGAATAGTTAATTTCACACACACAAAAAAAAGATACAGCATAAGAAGAAACAGTATTTTGAAAGCCTGTTATACAGCTTGTTGCGATCATTATATGAGGTTTTCATTATATGAAAACCTTTTTGTCTTTCAGGAAACAAAAAATTGCTGAATAATGTTAAAATAAATAGTGTTGTTCAAATGATTTACAATGCCACTGATAATCATTACAGCATCTCTGATTATTAATGGTACATTGATAGGCCCCTGCAGAGTTTCTTGCTGAATCAGCTTTTGAAATAAATTGCTTTCCCTCCATCCCCAGCCGCACCCCAGAGAAAGGGAACCATGTCTTGACTGAAGTAATTGATTTAGGATATCCAGCAGATACAGACACTGCACAACCTAAGATGTTCTGTGAATTTCTACGTCCCTGTTAATGGAGTTTATTTTCCTTTTTCACAAAACTGTTTAGCCTTGATAAGGCTGCATATGTATTTCTCCTACTATTCATATTTTCAGTGTTATTGATATTACCATTTGACTCAGATTTTTCAGGAATACTTTCCTGACACTATTAATTATTTTGCTTTTTCTTTATTGTTTTCCTTCTACTATCCCTGGATTGCTGGAATTCTGAAAGACTAACAAAGAATATGAAACCAAGATGCAAGCAGATCCTCAAAGGAAACATTCAATGTAAGTTCAAAGAGTCACTGTGTAATCAATCTTGAGAAAAAAAAACGCAGGGAAGCAAGAACAAAAGGAAGCCTAATAACTTTTCAAGACAGCTACTTTCATCAACTAAACAGGAGTTGTAATTCTGCCAATTAATAGTAAGGTCCATTAACTGTAAGTCATAAAAGCTATTTGCTATGCAAAGCACTCGTTTTTCTTTGCTGCCCCTGACATTTTGGGAGGGCAGTGTAGCAGGATATCCTATGAAGCAAGGACTGGTGATCTATAGCAGGAGTGGACAGACTCTCTTAATGGTTTTACAGCGTTGCCAGTTGAACAAGCTCCCTTTATAAAAATAAACACAGGAAAGACATGATGCCAAGTTCCCTGAGAGATTTAAAAATTATATGCAGAAAGCTGTAGTTAGTAGTCCAGTGTCGATTTAGTGTGGCACAGCTAGGACTGATGGGATGAAACTAAAAATTGGGAACCAGGGTGACTATTAAGAGGAAGGGAAGGGAAGGGAAGGGAAGGGAAGGGAAGGGAAGGGAAGGGAAGGGAAGGGAAGTTGGGTTTCTGCAAACAGGACAGTGTGAAATGTTTCAAAGAGTACTGTAACAAACACTTTCCCATCAACTAAAGATGTGTTTTTTTTTTTTTTCCCCTCCTGGCTGGTTTCACTATAGCTTTTTACAAACCCAGCAGTCCTTTCCTAAACTTCTGTGCCTCCTTGTGTTATGACCACCAATCACAGCAGGGGTGTAATGTCACAAGAAATCTCTTATATAGGTAAAAATGGGCTTCTTGGAGAAAAAATAAAAGGGTAAGGAATAACAACATATTGTTCAGTGTCAAAGGATTTATGCAGTGTTCTGGGAAGTCCCTAGCTGCTTTCTCACTCTACTAAGCCCATAAACAGACATGGATATTGAAAGATTCATGATAACTGTGTTGGATTGCTCCCAGCCTGATGTCCAATAGTTACTGGTAGACTCACTCCATCCTATTTGTCTGTCCCTCTTGTCTCTCTCAAGGGTAAAGTTTACCAACAGAGATTGCAACCATCCATTTCCCACTGACTTTCAGCAAGAGGTTATCATCTAGGTCCCTTAGGGCCCCTTAGAAATCTCTCTTCTCATCCATAGAAAAGAGTGAGTGCCTCAGTGTTGTACTCCATTACCATCTCTGACTTTGGGAAAGTCAAGGAGACAGAGTGAAGATAAGCTGTCTGAACAAGAAATGGCTTTGTCTTATTTTTGAACCCCTGTGATTTGCCTTAGATATGAAAGTACTTTGAATGACACATGGATCCCCAAAACTGCAGGGCCAAACCCAAGCTTGTTCAAAACCTTGGAATGTCCCAGTGGCATCCCACTTTGGACAGACATCAGCTGCAGTCTAGTATGTGAGGTAAGGTGAGGGAGGAATAATGAAGGAGATGGCTGTGATGAAAGGATGAGTTATGTTAAATTATTTTTCTTTTTTTAAATTAAATTTTAAAAATCATAGTAGGTGCCAATAAAAAAATATGCTTCTGGCATATCCTGGAATTGTTAGGAGGAATCTTACAGAGTAAACAAACATGAGTAGTACAGTAAAAATGAATAAAAATAGAAAAAATA